GATAAAAGAAGAACTGAAGTGTCAGAACAAATCTGGACCAAACATCTGGGCCCTGATCAAAATCTGTCATTTCATAGTTTGAGTTGAAATCAAATAAATCTGCAGTAAGTTTAAGATTTGTGTGAATTTGAGCTTCTAAGATAAAAACCTCTTCAGTCAAAAGAATAAACACTTTGGACACAATTTGTTTTTAAATTTTAACAATGAAAACGGACCTAAATTATTCAGGAGCTGTTTTACTTTTCAGAATCTTTTATTTGTGTTGATTTAACGAAGGAAAACCACAAAACGAATCCTCTGATAGATTCAACAGTCTGAACCGTTTGAAGTTTCACGTTCTGCTCTGAAACGTCCTCATTATTGTTGTTGTGTAATCAGAGACATGAGTCCTGACACGTCCTCTGAGGCTCTTCATCTGAGCAGACGCTATTTTAGGCTTTACCCTGTGTGTGTGTGTGTGTGTGTGTGTGTGTGTGTGTGTGTGAGTGTGAGTGTGAGTGTGTGTGAGAGTGTGTGTGTGTGTGAGCGACAGCTGGATCAGGATCAACAGTCTGATTGACAGCTGATCAATCAGACTGTTGATCGTCATGTTTTTGTCGAAACTCAAACACAAACATCACCTCATCGGTGTCGACACACTGTCAATAAACACGAAATCCTCTGCAACGCCCCCTGGTGTCTGGCTGCAGTACACTCCTCCATGACCGATGGTCTATATACATATATATGTATATACAGTGTGTATATATATATATATATGTGTATATAGTAGAGTACATACAGTAACGTTGTGTATATTACATTGATGATCTGTGTTAATCCGTCTCCAAACAGTCAAACATCAGTCGGGATTAGAGCGTCTGGGTCGTGTAGGATTGAAGGACACTAGTGAAGGAGACAGAGGAAGGAGTGAGGAGCGAGTGAAGGATGAATAAACGAGTGTCCTTCTCTCTTCTCCTTCATCTCCTCCATGTTCTTAGGTTTTCTCTCCGAGGGTTAGCGCCGCTCGCCAGGCTGCTAATGTGAGACACTGAACGTCCTCAGTGTGTGTGTGTTGGATTAGCTTCCTCACACTCGCGCACACACACACACACACACACACACACACACACACACACTTGGTTTGAAAACACGTGATGTTCATGTTCAACAGAACGAATCCTCGTTTGTTTCCAACGTGTGTTTGTGAAGACTTGAAAAGTTTCTCTGTAGTTTTTACAAATGATAAACCTCTTCCCTTTCTGTGCCTTTGTGTGTGTGTGTGTGTGTGTGTGTGTGTGTGTGTGT